AAAAAAAAAAAAAAAAAAAAAAGTGATTGAACACATTAAAGGAAACTATGAAAAGGAAATAGAAGAAAGAAGATATTTTTGAAAACCTTAGAAAATTGTTTTAGAATTTCACTTTGTGAATACAGCTTTTTTGCTTAGTTCTTTTTCCACGTGTAATAGATACCCTGTATAAAATTGCACACATAGATAAGTGCAGTGCAAAGACTGAACTTTAAGTGGCATTTGTAGATTGTCACAAATTGTGAAAATATCAAGTGCTTGTATTTTCTGTTTTTATTGCTTCGAAAAGTAATGGACATTTCTCTTTGGTGTATTGTAGTCCAGTAACTCAAAGAAATGATAGGTTTGTGTAGATTTTTTGTTCTCATAATTTGACACATATTACTGATTGGGAAAATTTTAAAATGGCACCAAATATTGCAGATTTGTTACTATCTTCGTAGATGTATTGAGGAATATTAATATATCAGAAATGTCTTTGGTTCACTTGGTATGTAGATCTTTGTAATACTGAAAGAATTTTAGCTCTAGAAAGTCTTTAAAGAAGCCTTTAAAGGGGGAGGAGTTATTCACATACCTAATAAGTGTGTTGTGTATTTAGTCTATGTAAATACTGCCCATGGATCATTGTGACTCTGGGAATTAGTCATGTTACCTTTAGAAAATGAGGAAATTATTTTATGCTTGACCTGTATATAAAATTTTTTGAGTGTTTGGCCTTCAGTTATTACCATGGATCATTGTAAATTTGGGAATTGCACTCAAAAATGACCTTTAGAAAATTCTGAAATTCTCTTATGCTTGACTTAAATATAAAAATTTCTGAATGTTTGGTCTTCAGTTATTACCCTAGTAGTGATGTGATGTTCCTTAGAGCAAAAGATGTTGTCCACTTCATTTTTCTTTGGTTCAGCAAGGATTTTCAGCTCTTTACATATAAAGGAAACTCTAGCTGTAACTTGGTGTTTAGAGCAAGGTGCTTTTTTAAAATACATTTTATATATCAGTGGGGAAGGGGTTTGTAAGGTTCTGAAATGGAACCTTGTGGTAATTAAAAATTGGCTAACTCCCTTTTTAGAATTGGAATAGATATAATTATACATAAATATCTCAAAGATAACTTTCTCATTTTGAAAATGGTTTGTGTGGGATACTTGGTAAAATTCAACAAAACCTTAGTCCCCAAATTGGAATTTCCTTAAACTTCAGTTAATCTTTTTTCAAAAACATAATAGAGGGTTGAGATTTCTGACTTTTCAAACCTCATTGGAATTTGTTGACACAGACAAATAGACCATTTGTAAATGAATCTTACTAAAGCTGAAGCTAAATTCTGCACCTGGTTACTGAGATTACTTTGTACTATGCTGTCTGTATCAGAAGTGCTGTGAGGCCCAGGCGCTCTGAAAAATCTTTGAAGACACATGAGGATATTGTAGCCCTTTTTCCTGTTCCTGAAGGAGCTCCCTCAGTACACCACCCCCTCCTGACCTCTAGGTAAATGCATGTTTTGAAGTTTTCTCTAGGAAATCATGTTGAAGATTGCTTTTTATTCTTTTCCTTTTGGCTGTATTATATAAGAGGTCAGAGGTGGGAAATTATTAAACAAAAGAAAGTGTTAAACAATTTTTTAAAATTGGTTACCTTTTTAAATTGGTTACCTTGAGAATACACCTAATTGTGTCACTAAAGGAGCTCCATCAGCAGGAGAAAAGATTTACTGCTCAAAAAATTTAGCATTCCCTAAGAAATAACCTTGTTTTTGTTGGCTTTTTTGAGGGAAAAACAGAGTCAGAAATTGTTTTGAACAAGCTTTTTGAAGTACCAGAATGTCTTAATGTTTTTAAGAGAGTTGGTTCTGCCTTCTAATTTAGAAAGCCAGCTTTCTGATGTGCCTCAGAGGTTAGTATGTGTTCATTTGTGAGTGGGTGAAGGTGAAGAATGGGTGTCAAATCATTGTAATACTTTACAAATTTAGCTAAGTCAATCTAGATGGTATTTTGAGTACTGTAGACTTCTTTGTATGTTTTCTGACATACCTTTAGTGTTTGTTATTTTGTTCCAGGGATTCTCAAGTGTTTTACATGTATTCTTACAACAGTTTTTTGAGATAGGCACTGTTGTTATCCTCATTTCATAGATGATGAAATGAAAACCCAGAGAGCTGTATGGAACTTTGTCATTATACACAGCTAACTATACAGTTGGTTTTATTATTTTTTTATTTTTGAGATGGAGTCTTGCTCTTGTCGCCCAGGCTGAAGTGCAGTGGCGTAAACTCAGCTCACTGTAACCTGTGTGTACTGGGTTCAAGTGATTCTCCTGCCTCAGGCCCACCCCCCACCCCTGAGCTGCTGGGACTACAGACACCTGGCTAATTTTTTGTGTTTTTAGTAGCGACTGGGTTTCACTATGTTGGTCAGGCTGGTCTCAAACTCCTGACCTCGTGATCTGCCTGCCTCACCCTCCCGAAGTGCTGGGATGACGGGCGTGAGCCTGGCCAACATGGTGAAACCCCACCCCTCCTAAAAATACAAAAAATTAGCCAGGCAAGGTGGCATGTGCCTGTAGTCCCAGCTGCTCGGGCGGCTGAGGCAGGAGAATTGCTTGAACCCCGGAAGTGGAGGTTGCAGTAAGCTGAGATCGAGCCACTGTACTCCAACCTGGGAGACAGAGCGAGACTTAGTCTCCAAAAAAAAGTGTTTTTGATTCCTGTGCTTTATTTTTGGCAGTTAAAGTCTTTAAGATAAGGCTAATCACTTAGGTAATCTTACGTTAAATTCTATACTCTTAAGCCATTTCTAAAAATAATTTGAATCTACTTTCAGATTCTGGCAGCTTAGATTTGGAATGCTGCTTCTGAAAATATAAAGTTTTCCTTTTTACAGAACAGACTTCCATTAGATTTTCATTTCAGTAGAGAATATATTTATTCTCAACTTTTGAGTAATTTGGTAAAATTCCCAGTTTACCAAATTACTTCAGAGAAATCTAGTCTTGTTGCTTGGATCTCAGAAAATTAATGGGAGAACAGAGTCAGAGTATTTTTGAGTGAAATTTTAACTTTCCTCTTTTTCAGTTGGGATGAGTGGGTTCCGGAGAGCCGAGTACTCAAATATGTGGACACCAATTTGCAGAAACAGCGAGAACTTCAAAAAGCCAATCAGTAAGTTAGTTTTGTGAACTCAGTATTAAGGGCAAATGCTTGTAGATTAATTTTTGGACATGGAATTAACAATGGAGATCACGTTGGCTGGCCACCCTGCCTATAAAATGATTCCTGGTGTCTCTCAGCTGCTGTGTTACAGCTTTGACTTCAAGTGATCAAACAAGTCATTTCTAGGCAAAGGATGTAGCATACTTAAGCTTATCCTGAGACCTAGGTAGAAAACAGCAGAATGTTACTGGAAATTGCTATATGTATGAATTCATTGATAAACATCTTCTTTCTTATTTTGGGAGCCCTGTGTAAGACACATTTCATGGGGAAACAAAGCAAACTAGGCATTTCCTATTTTGTCTTTCATCTTTGAAAGCACAGGAAAAGGGACCCTGAAAGACTGTAATTTCAAAGTTGAAATGTATATTTACAAAAATTAAAAAGATAGTGGTAAATGGGAACAAATAAAACAATGGGATTAGTGAATTCCAAAACAGAAATGGAATTTTCAATGACAGGACAACAGTCTATTACAGTCACTTTTTAAATATTTATTTATTTATTTATTTAGACAGTTTTGCTCTTGTTGCCCAGGCTGGAGTGCAGTGGCATAAAAGCTTTACACCCCCTGGGTTCAAGCGATTCTCCTGCCTCAGCGTCCAAAGTAGCTGGGATTACAGGTGCATGCCACCATGCTTGGCTAATTTTTGTAGTTTTAGTGAAGACAGGGTTTCACTATGTTGGTGAGGCTGGTCTTGAATTCCCGACCTCA